GTGGCAACCACCCTGGAGACGCCCGGCAATGTCAGGACTCTGAATGGACGAGCAGCAGAAGTACGGAGGGAAAGAAACACAGAGACATACGTTAGGTGTTTGTTCTGTAACCTCTCTTTAGGACACAATGACATAATGGGATTATGTGTGAGTTTACCTCTCCTTGCTCCTTGTTGGGTGCACTGAGAGGGCAGTCGGGGTCCGAGGGGTCTAGACATGGCCTGTTCATGTAGGCATGTCCGACCTGAGGAATCAAACAACATTACTTTAGTTGCTTAAGTCTCAGTATATAGAAAAAAGAATTGCAACTACAATCTTTTATTCAGTATATCCGTCAGCCGGTATTTGGGTGTCCCACCTGGGCTTTGTCCAACATCTCCTTAAATCCTTCCAGCGAAGTGAACTGACTCAGCTCCTCCATCAGCTTGACTGGATCTAGATTCATCCACTGGATATCTGGCATACCCCTGGAGAGCAAAGACACACACACACGGTGAGCATCAACCCGAACATATTTGACAATAACTTGAAGAAGTAACTGTAAAATAGCTTGTATCACGTTGTGCCTGCGAGGCTGCATGGCTTTGCATTCCTGCTGATCTTTACTGTGCACAGAAAAAAAAAAGAAGCAGTTTCACTCCGTCTCCCCGGTTGGGCCGGGCTACGCAGGAGGCTAGCTGCAGATACAGGATAAAATAGCGTTTATTATCCTGTTTCACGCTGCCACAATGCCTCAAGGAAAAGGCACGGTGGCTGCCTGCTCGCTTCCACTCCTCAATGTCCTGCACTGAGTCATAACGATTACGTCTGCCTCCCAAACGTCTTGATAAGGAGGGAGGGAAGGGGAAAGGTTGGGTGGATGGATGGGAGGGAAATAGGTGAGGGATGAGAGGAAAAGCAAAGGGGGAACTCTCACGTTGCTTCTTGTGTGAGGTCCACAGAGAAATCGACTGTACCGCCATCCTCCTTCTACTTGAAATAAATTCATAATTTGCCTATAAATCCAGTCTAAGCTCTTTAAATTAACAGCTTTCTTGTGCTCGTGGCTTTTATAGTGTTCTTGCTGAGGGGACTAATGTTGAACTGGAGTGTTTTACATGTCTTGACCAATAAGTTAGCATCAATTCACAGCTCGATATCCTGCTCTGGAAACTTGTTTTTGTTTTTACTTTCAGAATAACCAATCAATCCACTTTAATATTACTGATTGATGCTTCTTAAAAATCGAACAACCCCAAAAAATAAACAATATGCAACATTCTTTGCAAGATTTTACGATTCAGTGCAAGAAAACACTTAAGATGGACACGTTCTGCAGTAGGACAAAATAAGAAAGAAGACAGTTGGACAGAAAAGAGATGGAAATAAAAGAATCCTAAAGTATCTCATCTCTGAGCCCAATCTCTCTCCAATGGCTTATGAAGAGAGCTCCTCTCCTATTCCCACATACCAGGGTCCCTTTTGCTGCTGCTCGCAAAGACACACTCCTTTATCAGCTACTTTTTGCTTGAGTGAACCGGGCCTGGGCCCTTTTGTTTTTTCATAGATTGCTGCTCTTTGTTCTCCTAAGTTTTTTCTCTCTCTCACTCACTCACTCTTCCTCCTTCTCTTTCCAAATCTGCCTCTCTCTCTCTCTCTCTCTCCATCTCACTCTTCTTTTTTTTGCATTTAAAACCAAAGCTGAAGTGAAGCAGAAGCTGAGGGGGGGAGGGGGGGGAGGGCCTCAGTGGCCACCACACATTCCCTCCAAAAAAACTATTAATAAATAACAACAGATGCTGAACGCTTTGTGTGATTGACAGGAATACTTGGAAGACGTGTGAAGCATCAAAGACCCTCTTCTCCCTCAGTGCTCCGCTGGGAGATGCTAAGGATGGGAATCTTGTGTTTGTTTCTGTATGTGCTGGCCTGTCACGCTGTCACCCTGTCACGGGACAGAAATACAAACAAATAATTTGTTTGCAAAGAAACATCTGCTATGACCTAAACTAAGGACTCAATTGAAATATCACTTTGAACGACAAAAAAAAAAGCTCTCTTTCAGTGAGTCAACTTCTCAAGAGAACTTCGTCCTGAAAAAAAACAAAAAAACCTGAATCTGCAAATGCCCAAACACGCCCAGACTCCACTGTTAACCGTCTTGTAGCTTCACTCTGTCTTTCTCGAGGGACTTGAGGCTTGAATACTGCCCATTTTATTTGTTGGACAACTTGGGAGCTGGGAGCCCGGGGCATTACCATGAGAATACCGAGTGTTAGCCGTGAGCTGACAAAGCCGCCCCCCCCTCCTCCGGGGCCCCTGCACTGATGGACACTCACTTGTAAACTGAAAGAATGCTTACCATTGTCTGACCCAAAGGGCTCCCCTGCCACCACCACCACCACCACCACCGCCACCGCCGCCGCCGCCTCCCCGCCCTCCGTTCTACCAACCCACCACCCAGTTGCTTCTGCAGCCATCTCTCTCTCTCTCTCTCTCTCTCTCTCTCTCTCTCTCTCTC